ATAAGACTAATAAAATTGGGGCTTTTTTCCCAGTATTCACTGGAGTGCCCTCAAGATTCTATCCTATGTCTCAGTCTTTTTTAAATTATTATTATCTATAACCTTTCTACCTGCCATTTCTTATATTTTTGATTGTGGCCTAGCCTTTAATGGCTGAGGCATCTCTCCAGCCCTACTTGCCATTTCTTAATCCACATTGCTCCTCTCAGACACAAACACGGACAATTACAGTTGTACAAATAGAAAACAACTTTGTAGTTTTCCATGGAGGAAAGGGCATGCACTTGACATTGTAGCTCTGTGAACTGCAGTTCTCAAGAACGATCCAGGTAGGTTTAAGAGTCCACAAGGCTGATACCAATCAGAATTTCATGATTGTGGAGAGCTGAAATGTTGGAAAACCAGAAACAAATCATTTTGGGCTTTTAGTCTCCTTCACAGCACCTTTGTAACTATCAGGGATAACATTATGGAATGCACTAAAGTTAGATGACCATCAGCTTACTCAGGCCAAAAGCTAAGAATGTCATCAGACAGCATCTGAGACTAGACAAGCACAGATTTCTCCTCTCTACTATCACCTGATTACCTGGTAATCCCAGAAATGTATTTGATAAATGCTTTCATTTATGACTTTCTTTTGTTCTGCAGCTATAAAAAATGTCATGAAACCATTACTACATCCTTGTTAGTCAGTGCAATGTGAATCCACATTCCTGTGCCATGGCCACTCACATTTGGTTGAGAAACTATCCCATTTCCTTTATATTTTATATTGGCAACATATGTGTGCTAGGCATTTCAGGGTACTGTGAAATAGTAAATTAGTAAAAGATCTATTCTCTTGGACTTAGAGAGGTTTGTGTAAAGCTATTTATTTAGCCCAAAATCCAAAAACACTTTGAGCCCTGAAATAATACCACAAATGGATTTTTTAATTTTATGTGTAGTGGTGTGAGGGATTAGATCCCCTAAAACTAGAGTTACAGTTGTGAGCTGTCATGTGGGGGTTGGGAAATGAACCTTAACCACTGAGCTATCTCTCCAACCCCCTAAATGGGAAATTTTATACCATAAAATTTTGTCTCATACACAAAATTATATTTAAAATGTGGTATACAAGTCAATTCTTTGTTTAGACATAAGCCTGATCTTAAAGATTTTCACTATGTATATTCAGATTCTCCTAAGTCCAGGAACAAAAGTCAGAAATTCAAAACACTTGTCAAACATTTTTGACAAGGGATTATTGAGCAGGTGAAGGATTAGCATCTGGGTTTGGGTCCTCCAGTCAGAGATTGTTGTATTTGGGAAAGGAATGGTTTAGAGGAGACACAAAAGTAACAGTTGTGAAGAAATAGTGTTAGGAGGAGTTGGTGGGTGAGTGGACTGCAGAGGGAAGTGCCTTCCTTCAGGGCAGGAGTGGAAGTGCAGGGTGTGTCCACAGGAAAGAAACCCAATCCATCCTGGCTTCAGAGCAGTCCACCGGTGACACCGTGACACCGCCTGTATACAGCACCCTCCCTCTTCTCTGTTTTCCTCTCAGGGTTTCCTCCTGGGAGAGAAGCTGTGGTGGTTCCAGAATGAGAGCTGAAAAGGAGGAGCCTGTAGTTGCAGGGTCAGGGTAGGGCTCCAGCTGCAATTGGCTTGGCTGCCCTGCTTAGAAGCAAGCCACTTACTGAAAAGGATGACTTCCCCTGAATGGCCAGTTCCATCCACACACCAGTGCGTGATAAGAGTCAAATCTTCCACACCACAAGGGTGTGTCCTGAGAGGAAGACTGAATCCAGCATTCAAAAGATCACAGGTTGAAGGCCATCATCTTTGACTATAGAATCCATGTCAAGTCTTAGATATACGAGAGCCTGTTTCAGTCAATCACCAATCAAATCAAAAGTCCTACAGAGGTTGTATTTATGTTTTTAGGAATACACATACAGTAAGAACAATTAAGAACAAAAGAGCACGAAACTGAAAGGGAGCAAGGCAGAGTACACAGAGGGTGTGGAGGGAGGAAAGGAAAGAGGGAAATGATGTACTTATAATCTCAAAAGACAATTTAAAATTATTTAGTGTTTAATCAAGTAATAAATTTAAGTAAAACTTTAAAATGTCCTGTAGAAGAGGCATCACTGTAGTCCTGCAAATGTGATTTCACAGGCCTTGTTGAAGAGCCCTAGCAGGCCTGAGCACGGCAAGCATGGCACCCACAGCTTTCACCTTTACCCTTCTCCTCCTTGCTAAAAACCTTTACATTACATTCTTAAAGCTAGCCACCAAGATCTATCACCTTATTTGGCTGCTTCCATCCCGACTTCTTCCTGAAGCTGACTACCAAGGCCCAGCTATCAAAAGTCCATCAACCAAAAGCCCCCTTTTGACTACCCTAATTAACATGCCCAATCAAAACAAACCAACTCATCGTAACACAGGGTTTCCCCTTTTCCCTTTATAGACTGTCATCTGTCTCCTCTCTATGCAGAAGCAATCCTCTGGAGAGGTGCAAATATCCATTCCCCTTCCCCTGGTTCCTTTCTCCTTGTTCCTTGTCCTCTGTCTCCTATCTTTGCCTCTTATTCCCTGCCCTTTGTCCCTCTGGGACAAATAAATCTCCTTTGTGCTGAGAATTTGGTCTTGGTGTGTTCTGTGCCAACTCTGGTCCTTTCTCTTGCAACAGCTGTGTCTCATGTCAAGAATAGTAAACAACCTTACCTGTAAAGTGTCATCCTCACCTAAAAATAATGTGTTAGTCTGTGAAGACCTGATGCCTCTAGCTCCTTATGCAATCTAGCTCCACTGCAATCAAGCTACTCTATTCCTCTGTCTCCAGGCAACACAAAAACCATAGCTTTCATCTTAAGGACCTTGACAGTTTATTTTGCAGCCATTTTGAGTGACCATGGCCCAGAACATAGATTTAGGACTCACCCCACCCCCAAAGATTTATTTATTATGTATACAGGGTTCTGGCATACATACCTACATGCCAGAAGAGGGCACCAAATTCCATTATAGATGGTTGTGAGCCACCATGTGGTTGCTAGGAATTAAACTCAGGACCTCTGGAAGAGCAGCCAGTGTTACCCTCTGAGACATCTCTCCACCCCAAATTCAGTGTTCTAATGTGGAAGTAGTTTCATGAAGTTTTTATGGTTTTACAGAACAAAGAAAGCCATTAAGTTGCCAGGCTATGGTGGCACATACCTTTAATCCAAGCACTGGGGAGGCAGAGGCAGGTGGATCTTTTTGAGTTCAAGGCCAGCCTGGTCTACAGACTGAATTCCGGGACAGCCAGGACTACACAGGGAAAACCTGTCTCTAAAAACAAAACAAACAAACAAAAGTCATTAAATCAAGTTTAAAATACATAGGTCAGTGCATCAGAGAGGCAGCCCCAGCGAGATGGTGGAGTCTTTTCTGAATTTACCAGACCACTCCACCAATCCAAAAGCTAAGAATGCCACCAGATAAATTGATAGATTCCAAAAGGTTTCTTTCTATTATGTCACAAGATATTAGTTCAGACACAGAGGTAGGCAAGGAATGACTATTTCAGGGGTCTAGAACTAGGTGACTAGCCTCTGGACCTGCAACATTCCAATCTTTTCACAGGACTGAAATCCCAGGCAGGCAGGCAGGCAGGCAGGCAGGCAGGCAGGCAGAGCTTCTCAGTAGTTTTCATCAACACTGCCAAAGAATCCGAGCTACCTACATGCCCTCTGATGAATTCTAATCATCCTCAGCCTTCTGATAATTACATTCTAGCCACCTGTGCACCATCCAATAAATGTCTGCATGTCTCACTTGTGAGCTGGAGGTGGTACAGTGGCCATGGGAGTCATTAAGTATCGATGTAGAGCAAGGCAGGGTGGGTGGTGTCTATCCATGGCTTTTCATCTGAAGCTTAGTTCCCACAGCTATTAAAGTGGAGATAAATCCTACCCCAGCTCTGAAAGTTACTGTCTATAATTTATTCATATAAATTACCTGCAATATATGTAAATGGTCTGACACCTGTTTGTTATGTTATAAATGATAAGAGATCGATGTGTTTCAGGTATAAAGAATACAGCAAATGGTATTATACCAACATCAATAAATTTGCTGGGGGTGGTGGCCACACTTTAATCCTAGCACTAAGGAGGCAGAGACAGGTGAATCTCTGAGTTCCAGGCCAGGCAGGGCTACATCGTGAAAGAAAACATGTCTCAAAAACAAATTTTAAAAATTATTTTTATTATTTTTTAATTATGTGTATGTCTTGTGCAGGTATATGCATGTGAGTGTAAGTGTTTGAGGAGGCTGGAGACAACAGATTCTCTTGGAGCTAGAGTTACAGAGTGATATTGGTGCTGGGAACCAAACTCGGGTCCTCTGGAAAAGCAGTAAACTTAACCACAGAGCCGATTCTTCTCTGAAAGGGACAACATAGCGAATAACAATGATGATAAATGAGCATCGACTGCTTGCCAAGAACCATGCTGAAAGGTTTGAGGGTTTCTTCTCACAACTCCACGAGATGGGGGTGCTGCTGCCATCTCTTCCTCAGAAGAGGAAAGGGGGCCCAAGAGACAACTTCATTCAAGTCTGCATACCAGTAAAGACTTGAACCCAGCCAGAATCTATACATTTCTACCTTCATACTCAAGAGGTCCCACTTAGAATTTTTGCAACCTGCTTCCAAGTTACTCACACACAGGGGTTAGGCTAGGCCCACCACCCAGCACATTTCTTTGCTCGGTCATGGAGCCATACTTCTGACCACGCCCACTCTCATTCTGTTTCCCCTCCCCACCTTACCCCTTGGGCGGGCCACGCCCACAGTCCCAACCAAACTCTAGGTCTGAGAGCCTGCTCTTGGGCACGCCTCCTTCCCCGCCCCTCGAGTTTGGCCACGCCCGTTCGCACTCCCACCCACTCCTACAGGCCACGCCCACAACAGCAATTGCTTTGCCTTCTATCCACGCCTCCTGGCCATGCCCCCGTGACCACGCCTACCCAGCAAGTTGCCCTCAGGCCCCGCCCCTGGCCTCGCAATCTCGGACGCCGTTCTCGCGCTGGAGTCGCCATTTTGCTGTAAAACGCCGTGCGGAGGGCTGTGCTTTCTTCCTTCGGCAGCCGAGGCTGCGGCGGGCCGGGCTGGGGTCGGGACCAGGTAGGCGGGCGGGAGCCGCGGAGGGCGGACTACGGCCCGGCGAGCCCGCGCGGTGCCGGGCGGGAGCCGTGGCCCTCGTTGCTGCTGGGCGAGCCCGGAGCCCCGTGTTCGGCTCGACCGACCTTATGGGCCGGGAAGAGAATGATTGTATTCCACTCAGACGCAAAAGCGAGGAGCAGTATACGATACTCTACCCAAAAATGCTTTCTCATTGTTGATAGGATTTATTTTTCTTATTTTGATGGCACAATTTGGGTGTTTAGCTTTTATGAGGGATACAAAAATACTGAACCGGGCCTGAGGAAGTGTGAATTCTAGTATCTTAGGTTTTCTTTCCTTTTTTCCCCCCATGCGGTGCTCGGGTCGAACGCGAAGTGCTGTAAGCTGTGCGAGAGGCCTGCCTTTCAGCCAACCCTGTCATAGTACTTAAGAACTTAAATGCACAAATAAAAATAATTAATGCATGCTATCGAGCCCCACTATATGACATTTTTCTTGTCCTTTAACTGCTCTGGTTTGTACCATTATCACCCAATATTTGCATAGATATGGACATTATATTTGTTAGCTGCCCTGAGGTTTAACATAGAGCCAGTGTTTCTGCTCTTAAGTAATCTTGAGGTTTGTGAGGCTTGGTGGCCCTCCACTTAATCCCAGAGACAAATGAAAGATCTCGATTTCAAGGCTGCTAGGGCAACAAAGTCTTTAAGAAAATATCTTTCAATTCTCATCATTGACCATATAGCTGTTTACTTGGGGTAAATTCCAAAAATTGACAACATCTCTTTGGCACTTAAAATGTATCTTTTTCTGAGTAGGGTATGTTTGCAATAGACATTTCAAAATCTGTGTGTGTGTCTGATTTTATTGATTGTGGAGTTGTCAGGTTGCCAAGTCTTTTTTTGTATGACTGAGAGCAACCTATTATTGTATGCAAGGAACTGTACTACAATCAGACTTTTTGTTTCTGAGCTTGGTCTTTTAGGGGTCACTGTCCTAAATAAGAGACTGAAGCAGTTACCTATTATGATTTTGTTTGAAAGTCTGGAAAGTAATGATATACCCGTTTTCTTATTAAGTTACTTCCCCAGGTGTCAGAACTGGAGAGTTGGCTCAGTGGTTGCAAGCTGTTCGGGACTGAGGTTTGAATCCCAGCACTTACCCTCATGGTGGCCCACAACCACTTCTAATGCAACCCCACAGAATCTGATACCCTCTTCTGGCCTCCAAGAGTTCCAGGTTCACATGTGTGCAGACAAAACACCCACACACGTTAAATAAGATTAAAATAGTTACTTCCCCAGGTTTAAAATAAATTTAAATCTATTTCCTGCTTCCCCAATTGTCACAAAGAATGAAAACTCAGAAAATATAGCATTAGCCACATGAAAACATTCTTACGATGGGCACAAAGTGCCAGGCGCCACAGAAGATGAAGAGTGCTGCAGGTTTAGCTTGGTTACCGTTTCTCAGTATTTATTTTTATTTTCTACTTTTTGTTTCTGGTGCTGGTGGTTGAACTCAGGCCTGCAGCACAGAGCCCTCACTTTTCACTAAGGTACACCACCAATCCATCTGTTCCGGGTCAGCTTTTTTTCCCATGCTGGAGTTGGAAGCCAGGCCCTGTGCATGATAGGCAAATGCTCTGCCACTGAGGCAGCTTTTCGTGGATCGAGGCATATCACTGATAACAGCAACTCCTGTATACTTTTTGTCAACACATGCCTCTCAGTTCTGTTTGCTGATCATTGTACCTGAAGTGAGGCTTTTGGTTCAGCCTCTGCTGCCTGAACCTTCAGTTTTGGTGGAGAGGTTGTTAACCAATCCTCTGTCTTTGTCGTCTGAGAGGTGTAAAGGTCCAGTGAGCCTCTTGTATTACAAGCCCCATTTAGAGGGGATACAACACACACTGTGTGAGGCTTCCTGACCTCTAGTATGAATGTTGAAATCTGATGGTGGGTTTGAAATAGTAAATCCATCTAAAACAGGTGATCTCCTTCAGTGTGGAGAAGTCTCTCCTGAAGGAGACCTGACAAATTACCTCATTCAGGGAGATGAATGTCATTTGCTGTGGAAAACATGTACTTTCATCCATGCATAAATAATTTCCACATGTTCTAGATTAAGTTTAGGTTAAACACGAAGAAGGTAGTAGTTATAGCTCTGTGTGTGGGGCATTCTCTGTACTCTATTTCACACTGAAACTTTGTGCTAATGAGCACATGCCAGCCCTGCTAGTGATCCTGGGCCTGCTAAAAAATGTATCACAGTTGGCGGCTGGTCTTGGAGGTGCATGCACACCTTTAATCCCAGCATGGGGGGAGGGCACAGCAAGTGGGTCTGAGTCTGAGGCAAGCCTTCATAGTGAGGTCCAGGCCAGCCAGGGCTATGGTGTCTCAGAAACAAATTTTAACAAGGTGAGGGAAAATGGAATCCGTGGCTGCCCTTAGTGAGTTGGGTGCTCACGGTGATAATTCTGATTCCCTTTCTAGACATACCCCGCCCACTCCTGCTGTTCAAGAGTGGGCATTCATTAGGATTTGATATGGAACCCAAGGCCCACCTCATGGTAGACAAGCCTACCGTTGAGCTCATACCATTAAGCTGTACACTTAATGTTAGAATTTGACTTTGGAAGCTGTTGCTCTAGAGTCAGCTTTGGAGACCAGGCAGGCTGCTTTGTGCATTTGAACCACAGAAGAAAAGGTTTCAGGGGATGTCCTGGGAGGGACACATGGCCAAGAGAGGCTGGGCTGTGAAAGAAGATTAGGATGTTTCCCTTAAATCTTCAAGGAAAGAACTGCAAGGAGAGGGAGACCAGTTAGTTCTAAGGCAGAATTTGGGGTGGTAGGCCTCAGAGATGTGGGCTCCAGGCCCAGGACTGGACTCCTGTAGGCCTAGTAGAGAGAGGCTAAAGTACCCCTAAGAGCTCCTCCCTGTGTCCTCTCGGGGATCTCTTGTGTTGTTATTTAGGAGCTTCTTGTTTGAAATTGGTGTAGAAAGGTGGCCATCTGGTGCATAATACTGAATTTAGTAGGTAGCCAAGACTTGTGAGCTGCCCTGTCCCTGCTGGGAGCTGGTTAACCCTCAGCCATCACTCCAGCCCTGACAGTTGTTAGTCTTTTTTTTCCACCGCCCTATTTTTTGAAACTCAGCTGCATTCTTTGAAAGCCTGGGTTGAATTACCTTTTTACAGAAGGGACAAGATAATCCAGGCTTTGTGGCTATGCTCAGCATATATTGGAACAGTTGGTAAGCAAATGAATTGGCTATGTTTTAGGAAAGCAGGCTTTGGGAGGACTGGGCTTGGCTGAATAGTGTCAGTAGAGCCCTGGTCTGCAGGCACTTTCCAGTGTTCACTGGTAGGCGCCTTACCAACACTGGAGACATTTCTGTTTGTGACTCGTGAGTTTAAGGGGAATTGCCCTGTAGCCTGTGTTGGAACCTTAGGCTTTCCCATGTGAATGCCTCCTAAAGGGTGCTCTGCTCCAAATGCGCTCTCCTAGCCTGCTGGTAGGACTGCACTGAATACCCAGGGCCAGGTGCTCGAACCTTGTGTGTGTATGAAGCCTGTCCCAAGTGATGCACTAGCAACACAGAGCCACCCCGTGGAAGTCCAGGCAACAGTTAGCAAGCAATAACAGAATAAGTTTTCCTGTGACTCAGGTTGTTTGGTGAACAAGCAAGTTACAGGTACAATGGTACTCTTTTGAGCTTGAAACACTGAATGTGTTTTTCCGTGTTTATATTTATAGAGTCCGTGTGTCTGAATGTGTGGGAAATGCCTGAGGCAGTGTGTTTGTTATGCTCGAAGAACCACAACTGCCAGGGGAGGAGTCCTGCAAGAGCCAGGGTGGGGCTAGTGAGTTCAGATCAGCATTAGTGATGATGTCTCAGGCTTTTACTAGGAAGATGTATTTGTGGGGTTTTGCATAATGAATGTTTTAATTTGCATGATAAACATTTTAAACTAAAAACAAAAAACAGCTGCACCAGCCTCCCAAGAGCTAGCTAAGCTGAGTGAAGAAGGAAAGACAGGTAGAGAAAAGAAGTGTGGGCTTAGATGGCCACATCTTCCTCCCAGTCTGGCATTTGCTTTAAGAGGAGGACTCTTAGCTCAGAGAGGATGTGACCTTTAGGCTAGGCCCAAGTCTTGCCCTGCTGTCACATGGTGCCACTAGTTGCCCTATTTGCAGTGGAGAAGGAACATGACAAGATGAATTTTCATTTATTTGTTTGTTTGTTTGTTTGTTTATTTTTGAGACTCTGTGGTCCCTGCTGTCCTAGAACTCTCGCTATATACCAGACTGGTCTAGAACTCACAGAGATCCTCCTCCCATGTGCTAAAATTAAAGGTGTGCCCTGCCATGCCCAGTGGGACTTTCAATTACTATTGTTACTAAGTTTTTATTTATGCTGCAGAATATGCTTGCCTGGTGCCCAGAGGCCAGATGAACATGTTGGATCCCTAGAACTGGAGTTACAGACAGTTGTGAGCCCTTGTGTAGGTGCTAGGAATCAAACCCAGGTCCCGAGGAAGAGCAGCCAGTGCTCTTAAGCACAGATACTAACAAGATGATTTTAGATGTGATACAGAACAGCAGCAGGGTGGGGGTGTGGGAAGCAGATGTCATAGAAGGATCTGGGCCATTTATTTTTTGTTTAAGGATCAGCTCGTCCATGTCCTTGCTAATGGCTCTGCCATTTTTCTGTGTTAATCCAGGAGGAATTTTGTTGTCAGAGAATAACAGGAGGTTGTCCATAATTGACTTTAAGCAGCAAACAGTAAAACACTTGAGCTCTTCAGCTCCGCCTTTCTTGTAAGTTTATTCTTTATTCCCAGTGGTTATGAAAGTAATGGAGTTGTATGGTGCCATTTGCAACCTTGAACTCCAAGGATTGTTCTCCCTTAAAATAAAAAAGCCACCGTTATGGTGGCAACCACTTTCTTCTGCTGAAGTCATTCTTTGTTTAAAAACAGTCTGCTCAGGTATGTTTTATATATGGTGATGCTTTTGTCTATACTCTTTTCTAGGCTCTGAGAAGTGGAAAACCAAGAAGGTTTGATGTTTTGTGTGGCGCCTCCTGAATTAGAAACCAAGATGAACATAACCAAAGGAGGTCTGGTGTTGTTTTCAGCAAATTCCAATTCGTCATGTATGGAGCTTTCAAAGAAAATTGCTGAGTGAGTTCCAGTTTTACCAGTCAAATCCATATGCACTATGTGATATTTTAAATTTGATAATCAGACTACTGCTGATTATCAAGCCCAAAAGCAGGTATAGCCAACCTGCATATCATCTGAATATTCTCAGGGTGACTATAACTCCTGGGAGTGTGATAGGCACCACTGTGGATAAATTATTAGAGATGCATGTAATATATGAAAATAGTGTACAGCTTATAATTTAGTGTAATTTTTAGAAACTGATTAAACACACACTAAATCCCTGCTGTACATATAACTTTGATCTAGATGTTATGTTAACAGTGAGCAAGCCAATCAAAAGCTTTCTTTTCGTGTAATTTACATTTTAGTATGGGAGTCAGACAATCTAGCTAAGACACCCAACTAGGTAATTTCAGGTGGTAACAAATGCTGGGAAGAAGGCAGTGAGGGAGGATATAAGGTAGTCCTACCTTCATTTAGGTACTCAGGTACATTTTAAACCAAGGGACATCTAGGAATTAGGAGACCCAAATAAACCATCAGATGAAGGTTGAAACAGAGCCCACCCCTCTATGCAGAGGGGGCAAAGGTTCCAAGGCCTGTGGCATGCAGGAGTGTTGGTGCCTGTGGAAACATGGGCTATGGGGTACGGAGCACTAGGAAGATGGCCTGTGAAGCAGGAGAGCCAGATTGCACAGACTGTGGGTGGTCATGGGGTGAGGTCAGAGGTAGGCAACAAATAGATATGATATAATATTTAGTTTATTTCATAATTAGAATAACTTACTTTTGTCAACTTGTAAGTCATCTTTAATAGTAAAGATGTTAGGTCTATTCTGTTGCCTTCTCAGCTTTTCCCCCTTTCTCTTCTCTAGGCGGCTGGGGGTGGAGATGGGCAAAGTGCAGGTTTACCAGGAACCTAACAGAGGTGAGCTTCCTTGGACATATGTATTGTGGATCTTCTTGCAGAATGTGGTGTAATGGGTCATTAAGTTATCCTTGACCGTCAGACAGTTAGATTCAATCATCTCATCAGTTCTGATAGCAGGAAATCAGGCAGGCATGTGGAGGAATGTGGTTTTTACTCCCTTCTGTTACCAAATGGAAAGATCCCAAGTGCAAGTCACATGTAGGGCTTGAATGCTGGTTCTTAGGCCTCATTCAATAAATCTGCGTAAGTTAACAGTGACTAGCTAGCTGGTCAGCTGGGTGGAAATGTTAACTGTTAGTGGAGGTTATTTTGCTATAGGTAACGTAAACAAGTACTGTGTACCTACCTATACTTTTAGTTTGTAGATATGTGGGCATGTTTAGAATTACATGTACATCCATGCTCATATGTGTTCCATTATTGAACCCAGGACCTCATGCATGCCTACCTATTGAGCTGTACCTCTGACCCTAGCTGGTTATTTGTTTCCTATAAGGCCAAGAGCTAATGCCATAAAGTGTTGCTAGGAAATGGCTGTAAGAAATGTTATTTAATCTTCAGCATTTCTTTAAAATGGTGGGTATTCTTAGTGAAATTTTTCTGGCGGGGTAATGGTCACTTGTATGGACATGAGAATCTTACTCCTTATCCTTGCCCAGTAATAAATGGGATAATCTCTGTACTTGACATAATCTTCTGACACATAATAGGTGCTCAGTAAGCACTCTCTCTCCTTTCATACAGAATTTTGTCCAATATTTACATCTTTAAAAACTCACCAGTACTGCTGCTGTTCCTCTAGTTTTCCTAGAGCATGATTGAAGTGCGGGAGGTTCTCTTCAGGGAGGCAGGATGAGGGAGAGCTATGGGAGCATGGGGCTGTGGGACAAGGCAGTTGGTTCACTCCCCAGGCTTAGGAGTAAATAGATGGAAAATCCTTGGTTTATGCAGTGAAACTAACTTCTGTATTCCCTACAGTTCATAGACACTGAAAACCTGGATCAGGGATAGATACAAGGGCCCACAAGTAACAGCACCAGGACTTAGATGCAGATTTTGACTCTAAAACTCATCTGTAGCATCACACCACACTCTTTTGTAAGCACACATTTTTTTTCTGGTGATTTTGTTAGTTTTGAATCAATGCCTTACTGTGTAGCCCAAGCTGGCCTTGAACTCACCATGTAGCCAGGTTAGCCTCAAGTTTGAGACCCTCTTGCTTTAGCCTCCTGAATGCTGACATTACCACACCCAGTTCTTTTTTTTCTATTGTTGTTGTTTTGTTTTACTGTTACTGAGATGGAGCACAGGGCATTCTACCAGTAAGCGACATCTCCAGCTTGCCAACATTTTTAATGAAAACTTTCAAACATGAGATAATTGAACAGTATCATGACTGGCCGTATTGATGCCTACCATATAGTTTGGTGTTTTGCTATCTTAATCCCTAGATACCTGGCCACATCTCCTACATATAAGTTCTTGTACATAAACAGAATACTTTTGTCACATTTGAAGGCATTAGCTATAATTATGATTTTTTTTTTTTTTTTTTTTTTTTTTTGCTGTTGTTGCTAGTTTTATACGATTCCTAGCTTCAGGTGATTGAATTTTTCAGTGTTTAAAAAATTGTGTGTGTGTGTGGTTTTTTTTGGGGGGGTTGGGTTTTTTGGGGGTTTTGCCATTATTTATGAATCAGGGTCTTACTTTGTGGCCCAGGCTAGTTTCCAACTCTTGTATCCTCCTGTCTCAGTTTCTTGAGTGTTGGAATTCTAGGAGAACACCATCATGTCTAGAAGGTGAGGTGATTTCTCTTTTGATATAGAAGCCGGACCAACCTTGCCTTTCCCCTCTAGTGTTAATGTTCTAGACCTACTCCTGTGGAGTGTTTGGAGTTGTCTCTTGGTGCTAATAAGGGGTATTTAAGAGCAGGGGGAGCTGGGCAGTGGTAGCACATGCCTTTAAACCCAGCACTTGTGAAGCAGAGCCTTCTGGATCCCTGTAAATTTGAAGTCAGCCTGATCTACAAAGCTATACAGAGAAACCCTGTCTTAAAAATAAAAATAATAAAAAGAGCAGGGATATTTCCCTGGTGCTCTTTTACCCCACGTTATACAGTGTTTATGCCTCAGTTCTCAGTTGGTGCTGACTGGATGACCAAGTGTAGCGAAGCAGACACTGCTTACGTATGAGGGGAGAAGCCTAGATTTGATTCAGAAGTACGACTGTGGCGATGCACTTAATGTCAGTGAGTTTTGTTGTTTGGTAGTAGTCCCAGTTTCTGTATTTTATAAAGTTGGGAATTAATGTAGTCTTAGTGTATGTTTTAAAATTTTGAACTATATCTTTCCCTTCTTTTCCCTTTAGAAACAAGAGTCCAGATTCAAGAGTCTGTGAGAGGAAAAGATGTATTTATCATCCAGACCATCTCAAAGTAAGCGATTTCTCCCTGCCTCCTGGGTGTTCCTGTTAGAGTCTGAAGACCTGGCCACACAGGGGAAGATAGTTTTAAAACTGATGTGCTTTTGCTAGTCTTTTTAGTTTTATTGTATATGAGTGTCTTAACTGTGCACTATATGTGTGCCAAGTACCTGCAGAGGTCAGAAGAGGGCATCAGATCCCCTGGGACTGGCGTTAAAGATGGCTGTGAGCTTTGATGTGGCCTCCAGATCCAGTGAAACCTGAGCCAGAGAGCGGAACCATATACTAATAAACGCTAGGAGAGCCTGTGCGCCCCACCACTGAGCCATCTCTGCAGCCCCATTTTCCTAGTTTCTGCTGACTTTTTGTCCCTCTCTCCCTCAATCCCTTCTTTGTTTTGTTTTAAACTCTGGCCAGCCCCAGACTCTTGACAGTGTCTTGAGTATCTCTGGCCTCAAACTTGCTATGTCACCAAGCGTGACAAATTGATGATCCTCCTGCCTCCACTGTGTGAATTCTGAGACTACAGGCACATCCTTTATGCTTAGTGATGCTTACTGATGAGGATTTAACCCAGGGCTTTGTGCATGCTAGGCAAGCACTGTACCAACTGAGCTGCATCTTCTTTCTGTATTCTTTTTTGTTTTGTTTTCTTAGATGTATTTTTTATTTTACGTATATGAATATTTTATATGCATGTTTGTAAATGTGTGTTACACATAGTCCTGGTATATATAGAAACTGAAAGAGGACATTGGATCCCCTGGAACTGGAGTTAGCCATCTCTTTTGTATTTTGTTTTTTAAAGATTTATTAAACTTTACTTGTGGATATTTTTTCTGCATGTACGTACATGTATGTATTCTATGTGTATGCATGGTGCTTACAGAGGCCAGAAGAAAATGTTAGATTCTCCCTAGAGTGGAGTTACAGATTGTTGTATGCTATCACATGGGTGCTTGGAGCTGAACCCAGATCTCCTGCAAGAGTAGCAAGTGGTCTTAAGCACTGAGCCAACTTTCCAGCCCCCTCTTCTGTATTCATGATGAGGGGAAATAGCCAAGGCTCTTAATGATAGAATCTGTTAAGTTTTTCTAGCAATCAAGAGTCAAGTTGATGCTTCGTGTCTGTGACAGGACTGTTATGAGCTGTCCCTGTCTTTGTCAGGTCCTTATTCCAATCACATCTTTCCTTCTGCACATGGTACATTGAGTTCTTTGTCTTGACTAGGCTGTAGAAAGCCTTTACATCAAGATCTTTTTTCTGAGATGCCAAGAAATAGACTGAGGATTTGATAGTGTCACATTCAGCTGCTATTGCATGGTATTGTTGATTAACTTGCTGATGAGTTAATAACAGTAGTAGGAATCCCCTCCTATTGTTGGGCAAGCATTGTACCACTGAGTTGTACTGTGCCACTAGCTTCATTTTAGTACAGACTAGTAGCTACTAAAAACCTAAGACAGATTTTAAGTGAAGGAAATTTAGCCCATTAACTGACATTTTCCTGTCATCCATTTGCTTATCTGAGTTAGTGGTGGTAAGCTTGTGTGGTACTCCTGATTGTTGGCCTCAGGATGACTACTTGTTGCAGTTCCCCTGCTTACTTAGACAAGCAAATGGTTTTCTGATGGTGATGGTGATGCAGGCATTGGCAAGGAAGAACAGTGCCTTCAATATGGGTTAGATTTTTCACATTCAAATGGAAGTACTTACCAGCTAGTTAGATTGCTTTCAGAAGGGGATCTTGGGCAAGAGATCAGACTGTGAGAGTGACCAGCATTTATAGAGCTGAAAGATAAAGGGTGACAGGAGGAGACGAATGTGGCAGGTGTGGGAACCAAGAAAAGAATCGCACGAAGCATAAGTTAAGTGTCTTCATTGGGGTTTCTATTGCTGTGAAGGTTCTGTTTATGACCACAGCAACTCTTATAAAGGAAAATATTGAATTGGAGCTGGCTTACAGTTCAGAGATGTAGTCCTGGCACAGGAAGCATAGTGACATGCAGGCAGACTTGGTGTGGGAGATGGGAGAAGCAGCTGAGATCTGCAGGCCAGAGGAAGAAACTGAGACTTCAAAGCCCGCCTCCAGTGACACACTTCCTCCAACAATTCCACACCTTCTCCAACGAGGCCACACCTTCCAGTAGTGCCAGTCCCTGAACCTATGTGGCCATTTTCATTCAAAGCACCACAAGGAGGCAGAGGCACATTCTGCCTCTACTGTAGGCACAGGTGAGCAGCTGCCTTAGAGGCAGCAGAAAGGCCAAGAAAGAGAAAGACTAATTAGCCAATGGATTTAGCCAAATGTTAGGGGCTTTTGATGAAAATCAGGGAGCTGTTATGGAGAACTAGAGAAGCTTCTTTGGCGTGTATATGGAGAGGAAGAGTGGAGAGTAGGAGAGTGGGACTGTAGACGTCTGTCTTGAGATGTCCTACAAAGAGGACAAAGAACTGGGATGATGAGGAAGAGCTTCACAAGGATGAGGGGCAGGAAGAGGGAGGAGTCATGGTGGCACAGGTTCTCCACAGAGCATGTTGAGAGGGGATGGCCACTGGAGTGTAACTTTACAGTGATATGGAAAGTTCCCCTCTGCTGCTGATTGCATGCAGTGTGGAGAGTTACCTTCTGATAGTCTCTTTCAGTGAGAAGGCAAGGTCATCTGGTCAGGAGCAGGAGAAGCTTTGGGAGAGGAGGGATTTGTTCTTTTTGTGTCTAATGCTTTAAGTCTTGTATAGTCGTAACATGCTTAGTGTCTGACACTGTCCACGGGTTTCAGGGACGTGAACACCACCATCATGGAGCTCCTGATCATGGTGTATGCATGTAAGACCTCATGTGCCAAGAGCATCATCGGAGTGATCCCCTACTTTCCTTACAGCAAGCAGTGCAAAATGAGAAAAAGGGGCTCTATTGTCTCAAAATTGCTGGCTTCCATGATGTGCAAAGCTGGTAAGAATGACAGGTTGATTTTGTTTGTTAATTTGAAACAGAATCTCTTTTTGTATCCTTGGCTGTCCTGGAACTCACTATTATTACACCAGGCTGGCCTTGAACTCAGAGATTTGCCAGTCTCTACCTCCAGAGGAGGAAACTAAAGGTGTGTAACACCATGGCAGATTTATTTTTTACTTTAGAAATTTCAAAGCATTATCTTGACTAGTGTTCTGAACATAGTACAAACAATGAAACAGCTTTTAAAGACAGATAATTTATATATTGGAGCCCCTTTCCCCAGGAGAGGGTGCTAGCCCTAGAGTGCTGCAATGGTACATTTCGCATCCCAGCTGAGTAGCATATACAGTAGTACTACCCTGTCTTGGGGGAAGAGAAGGACATCACAAGACTGGTCACATTATTCACAGTGACATGAGGTTTAAACGTATCAGTTACACTTATCAATTTTTTCTTTCTGGAACTTGTCATGGATCATGGATATCTGAAATCATGAAAAGCCCGCCATAGGTAAACTGGGGTCTGGTTTAATCAGAAGAATTCTGCTTCCAATGCCCTAAGACATAGAAGTAATAGAACAACTTCCGTTTCTATTTTTTTTCCTGAATTACTTGTTTAACATTTGTGTTAACAGTTCCAATCATATTCAAGTTTTGAAAGGGAAAAAGTTATCTCTGCAGGCCCTGGTAGTTCTGTTTTTAATTTTGTGAGAAACTTCCACATCTGAACCTTATTGCTAGACTTTAGTACGTGAACCATTTTCATTTTACAAATAGTTGTATTTTGTAAACCACATATATTGCTTTCTGTTAAACATTCTCAGGTAACAGCCTAAGTATTTTATTTATTATATATTATATTATATAATATTATATATTATTTATTATACACACACACACACACACACACACACACACACACACACACACACAGTATTCTGCCTGCATGTGTGCCTCACTACAGATGGTTGTGAGCCACCATGTGGTTGCTGGGAATTGACCTCTGGAAGACCAGTTAGTGCTCCTAACCTGAGCCATCTCTCCAGCCACAGCCTAAGTATTTAAAACAACAACAACAAAACTTCATATCTTTTAAATTAGTTTACAGGTTATTAGGTTTCGTGATACATTTTAAATATGTGTGTGCATGCATGCATCAGAGGGCAACTTTGTCCATTTTTCCTCAGGTGACAGTTACCTTTTTTTCTAAGACAGGATTTCTCATTGTCTTGGAGCTCTCCAAGTAGGCTATGCTATTTTATTACCCCTTCCTGTTTCTCAATACCTTTTTTATTTTTTTCTTCTGGTGCCCTTTCTAGTTTCATAACCCATACCCACATATTAATGTGTGTGTATGTATACGTATAAACATGTTCATGTGCATATAAACATTAAAGGGTAAGAGTCACATATGAGAGCACATACTTATTTGTCTTTCTGAGCCTGGATTCCTTTGTTCAATATAATTTTCAGATCCATTTTCCTACAGATTTAATTTTCCTGTATAGATGAATAAAATCCCATTGTGTATATTACCACAATGTCATTATCTATTCATCTTTTGAACTTTTAGGCTGATTTTGTTTCCTTATGGTTGTGAATAGAGCAGCATTATATGTGGCTATGCAAATATTTGTGTGGCAGAACCTAGCTGCCAAGGAATATATGGTAGTGTTGTTGTTTTTGTTTTTTTTTTTTTATATTTATCTGTGTTTTGACTACATGTTACGCCTGTGTACCACATGTTCACAGTGCCCTTGGAGGTCAGAAGAGGGCATTGGATCCTCTGGACCTGGAGTTGCAGGCTGCTATATGGGTGCTAGGAACCAAAACAAGTCCTTTGGAAGAGCAGCCAGTACTCTAAACACCTAAGTCATCTCTGCAGCCCCTGGTAGTTCTGTTTTTAATTTTGTGAGAAATCTCCACATTGCTTTTCATGGTGATTGCATCGGTTTATACTCCCACTAGCAGTGAGTAGTAGTTCCTGGGTCCTTGACAGCAATTGTTATTTGTTTTCTTGGTGATTGCTTTCCAACTAGGGGGAGATGGAATTTTAAAGTGGTTTTGGGGGGGGGGTCTGTTTGTTTTTGTTTTGAGAGTGAGTTTCACTAAATAGACCAGGCTGGCATTAAACAATAGTTCAAGAGATTAAAAGATATGCCTCACACCCAGCTCAAAGTAGTTTCAATTTTGTTTCCCTGATGGCTCAAGGTGTCAAAGACTAAAATATTTGTTGTCCATCCGTAAGACCTTTTTTGGAAGCTGTCTGTTCGATTCATTCATATCCTATTATTTTATTGGTGGTTTGGGGGGGGTTAGTCATTTTTTGTTTGTTTGGGGTTTTTGGTGTTTAATTTGTTCATTTCTTTATATTCTAGATAACACCTTCCCTCTCTGACATGTAGCTGGCAAAGATTTTCTCATATTCTGTAGGTTGTATGTTCATTCCACAGCCAAAGTATTTTATATTTGTTGTAAATACTTACATAGTTCTCTCTGTATGTGTCAGACTTCTGTGCTGGTGTGTTCTTGTATGTGAGTATATATGATTATAGTAGGTACATATCACAGAAATTTGTGCAAACAAAGGAATGAAACTTCCCCAGGTCACTGTTTCTTACATTATTATAGAATACATTTTCCAGTGTAGCATTGCAAAGAAGGAAAAAACAAAACACAGCTTTAAAAAAAAAAAAAAAAGTGAACTCCAGCAACCTCAGCTGTGTGGAACCTGTATTAGTTACTTATATCACTGCTGTGACAAAATCTGTGACTAAAGCAAATGGAGAAAAGGTTTACTCTGACTCAAACACTGTTCGAGGTACAACCTATCATAGCATAGAAGGTAAATAGTTGGACCTTGAAGAAACACATCATGCTGTGTTTGCAGTCACAAAGGAAAGTGATGAATGCTGGACTCTGTTACCTTCCTCCTTATGTACCCCAGGCACCAGCCTAGGGTCATTTAGTGAGTCTTCTTGCCTCAGTGTAATCAGAATAGCTCTCACAGGCATGCCAAAGGCTAATTCCTCACATTGAGTGTCCACGGCTTATCTTCTAGGTGATTGTGAATCCTAGCAAATTGACAGTATTAACCACTGAACCCTACAAAACAGACACAGTGTGGGTGAAGGCACCTGGTCTTGGGATCTCTTGTTGGGTTTTATTGTCCACGCTAAGGAAATTTCCAGGAGATGCCACCTCCAGGAGAAGAAACACTTCTTCGTTATGATTCCAATTTTAGCATATGTGCTACTAAAGGGAGCAGTGCCACTTTGTTATTATTATGTCTATTTAAGGGCTTACTTTTAATTTATGTGTATGTGTGTGAGTATGTACACATATGTGTAGGCTTCTAGAGGCCAAAAGAGGATCTCAGCCTCTGGAACTATAGTTACAGGTGGTTGTAAGTCCTGACAAGTATGCAGGAAACCAAACTCACATCTTCTGCAAGAGTTACTTGCTGAGTCATCTCTGCAGCCACTATCTCTACTTGAAATAGAAGTGAAAGTCATACATCTTGTATGACTAAAATCAGGAGCAGTAGATGTGCCAGGTTTTCATGATAGGAGAGTGTTTGCTCAGTCATTGTTATAGTTTTGTGGTACTGTTGACATGTTTAACTGTTCATATTTGAAGGTCTAACTCATCTCATCACTATGGATTTACACCAAAAGGAAATCCAGGGCTTCTTTAATATTCCAGTGGATAATTTAAGAGCTTCCCCCTTCCTGTTACAGTATATTCAAGAAGAGGTAAGCTAGATCTAATATTTATGTTAATATTCTGTAATGATATAGTTCTGTTTATTTGGGTTTTTCCCAAAGGACCAAAACTTTTTATGTATTATGCTCAAAGAGTTATTACACTTCATAAGTTCAAGTCTCTAAAATTTCATATCTGTATTTTTTGCCCACTCAGTTCTTTTTTCTTTCCCCCAAATTTCTATGTGTATGGATGTTTTGCTTGCATGTATTTATTGCACCATGTATAAGCCTGGTGTCCATTGAGGCCAAACGAGGGCATCAGATCCCTAGGAATGGAGTTACAGATGGTTATGAGCCATGATGTGGTGCTTAGAATTGAACCCAAGTCCTAGAACAATAGCTAGTGCTTGTCACTGCTGAACCATCTCTTCCACACCCCACCCTCCTTGTTTTTATTGACCTATAAGTTCCACATGGCTGACTTTTTTTATCCACTTTTCGAATCTCACCCATTTTATTGGCCTTTCCCCCTGTCCTGGCATCTCATTTCATCAGCCGCCTTTTGTTAGTTCCTGAAGGCAACTCTATCTCTTTAAAATACTGTTTTTTCTTGACCTGACCCTTTGTTGGACCACACAGAGGCAGATTCTATTCCCATCTTGCCCAAATGCTTCCAGAATTTGTTTGATCTTATAAATATGTGTGATTTGCTAATTCAAAAGCCTTTTACATTTTTAGTTCATGTTGCACTTTGATGTTTTGCTTTTAGGAGCTGTTGTTTGCACATGCAGTGTTTCCCTGTAGCAACTTTTCCAGAGAGCTTCATTTTTTGGCAGCACTTTGGATATTTCTGAAGCATGTTTTCTGGTTGACCATCCAGGCCATTTTGATGGGCCTGTTTTTTTTTGTTTGTTTGTTTGTTTGTTTGTTTGTTTTGTTTTTTAAGATTTCTTTTGTTTTGCCAGTGGTTTTGTTTGGTTGGCTGTTATATCTCGAGCAGAGTTTGATACACAGTATCAGTTACTTTCCTTGTTTGCAAAGACAGCTGAAGGGAGGCAGGGTTGCATTGACTCACAGTGTTAGAGTACTGTCCTATGGTGGGGAGTCAGGCAGCATCCAGTCAGGAAGCAGAGCTAATGAGTGCTGCTTCTCAGCTTGCTTTCTCCCACTCAGTCCAGGGCTAGACCATTCCTTAGTCAGACCTTCCTAAAAACACTCCTGTAGACATACCCAAAGGTTTACAGTGAAGATTAGAATAAACTAAAGATGTAGACTATTCACTCATTCAGTTTGTTTTATTTACTGATTTATTTTGAGATGGGCTTCTGTCCTGTTACCCAGGCTGAACTTGAAATCTGGGAATCAAGTAATCTTCTTGTATCAACCTCCTTGAGTGTTCACATTCTACCTGGCCATAACTTCTTGTTTTTATAAGGCCAGGTTGGAGTTAATGCACTTGTTGATCTAACATTTGCATACAGCATTCTGGGGAAATTGGCTCTCTCCTCCCAGATTTGCTCATTAACTTATTTCCCCCATTTAGCCAATTACTGAGCTGCTTATTTGGACTGATAGCTTCTCCTCCCTAGGGTTCTTTCTCATCAAACCTTGATCTTTATAAGATTTCCTGTTTTGCCTTCTGAAGAGACAGTGAGCCTTTTTAATAAGAGTCCTTTGGTTTCATTAATGGCTTTGTTGGCTTTCCCTTGGCAGGGTGTGATGTTATTTAATGAGGTAAGGAAGTATGTGAGACTGTTCAGAAAGGCATCTGGCTTAAAATACAGTACCCAAATGAATATGATCTTCTGCTTTCTTGCCTAGAATAGTGGGTGGGTGTGTCTTTCCTCTAATGTAAGTCCAGCAACGTTTTTGTTCATTTACCTGAGTACTTGCTACCTAACAGGGCTTTGGATGCTACAACCACCTGTGCTGAGATACAGAGTTAGGATTAGAGAGATGGTTTAGCAGTTAAGAGCACTGGATGCTCTTCCAGAGAACCAATTCCCAGCATCCACAAGGTGGCTCATAGCACTTTGTATCTTCAGATACTAGGGATCTGATGTTCTCTTCAGGCTTCTACAGTACCAACCATAACCATAGTACATAGACAAACATACAGGGAAAATAAACTTTACACTTAAAATTAAAAAAAGAAAAACTGTCATATTATGAGAAAACAGCGATGGAAATGTTCTTCAGTGGAACAATGGCACTTAATGAGTTGGTTATATTACAAGAATATGGTTTGAAAATAGCAGAGATGAAATCAGAAACAGCAGCTCAGTTTAAAAATGGTTCCATTCTATGTATACAGACACGATAATGACATCTTCCCTAATCATCATTAGCACTAAGTACTTAATTTTTCAACAGTGAAAGGTTTCCAAAGTACTTATTTAGTTGTTTTTTGTTTTATTTTCTTGAAACAGGCTCATGTAACCTAAACTGGCCTTAAACTACATAGCCAAGGATGAATGGCCTTGAAGTCCTGGTCCTCCTGCCTCTGCCTCCTGAGTGCTTAGATTATGGATATATACCACCTCACCTTGCTCTACTTTTTCTTTTAAGTGGTTGGTTTGTGACAAATCTTAATATGTAGACCAGGCTGTTCTCAATTTACAGAGGTCTGCCTGCCTGCCTCTGCCCATTGAACACTAGGATTCAAGGTGCTACCACACCTGTCTGTTATTTGTTTAAAGAGGCTCTTGTTTTTTGTTTTTTTTTTTTGTTGTTGTTTGTTTGTTTGTTTGTTTTTTTAAGTAGCACTAGGCTGAATGTTCTTTCACAAATGGCTTTCCTCAGCACAGAGTAACTACAATGTGTTTGTCACCTGTTTAGACCACAGTATTTTGGAATATGACCTGAACTTGGATTCAGTCTCAACGAATATCATCTTTGTATTGTGAAATTGCATTCAATGTGGGATTCGTGAAAGGATTTTTGTATTTATTGAGACAGGTTCCCACCATGCAGCTCTTAAAACCCAGCCTCCAGGGTAATTGGGATTACAGGCACACACTACCACACCTGGTTTGCTTCTGTTAATTGTTTTGTTTTAGTGTGTGTATGTGCGTGCGTGCAGTATGCATTTATGTATGTGTGGATGCATATGTGTGTGGAGGCCGGAGGCCAGTGTTCAGTGTCTTCCTCAATTTACCTTGCTTTTTGAGGGCCTCTCACTGAACCTTGATTAACTATACTGTCTGGCCAGTGTGCATTAGAGATCTGCCTGTCTCCACTTTTACTCCCCCACTCCCAGTGCTGGGTTAACAACACAGGCTGCCATACTCTGCTTTTATGAGGTGTTGGGGAGCCAAGCTCGGGTCATCAGCAGTTTACGGACTGAGCTACCTCTCCGGTCTCTCTGCTAACTTTGTGAGAGCACTGAATTTTTATATATAGGTTAATTCATGTTTCATCTTAGTTTCCTAAAGGGAGATTTTACTTTGAACTTGTTCTTTTTGGTGAAACTTAAGTGATCAGATGATGATTTCAAATTTGTTGGGATGTTCATGTTTGTTGGTTGTTAGAATAGCCTCTTTGAGACAAGGTAGTAATCCCTGGCCTCTTGTCTACCACAGATCCCAGATTATAGGAATGCAGTCATCGTAGCCAAATCTCCAGCCTCAGCCAAGAGGTAGGTGGAACTGCATGGCCTCTCTTGCCATGTCTATAGGGTGTCCCCATTGAATCTCACTGTCTCAATCAAGCTGCCCTCCCTTAGTTTTCTTCTATGGGTTAATTTAATGTTACCCTGGCAACTCTACCTGTTCAGTAGATATTTTAGTATCTGCCAGTCATATTTCTTAACCATAGTCATCCCATCTGAGGAATACTGACCTAGTGCATCTACTGTTCATCTCCAGTCCTGCCTTTTCTGCCAAGCGTTATGCTTAACCTGAGATCCGTCCCTGAGACCCATGTGGTACAAAGAGAGAACCAACTCCCATTAATTGTTCTCTGACCTCCACACAAGCCCAACCCATCTTAAATAAGTGTTTTGGGGTTTGTTTGTATTTTTGTTTTGTTTTGTTTTCCTGGGAGAAGCTTTCTCTGTGTAACAGCCCTAGCTGTCCTAGAACTCACAGAAACCCACCTGCCTCTACCTCCAAAGTGCTGATACTAAAAGTGTGTGCCCTGCCAGACACTAAATGCAGTTGTTAAAACTCCTACTTAACCTACTTTGTTTACTGCCTCATCTTCAAAGAATTCACTGACTTATTAGCAGACTTATGTCTGACAGGTCACATATTTGTGTGTTTGAAAAAGTGACATTTACAAAAGGGAAGCTCTGCTTGAGTTCCTCTCTGGTCTCCCTCAGTGGTGGACTGCCATCAGGAAGTATAAGGTCATGGTCTTTATCACCACAACCAAAAGCAAACTCGGATAGGACAGTGACTTCCCATGGGAGTCTGATTGTTTGAAAGAAAGCTGAAGTGGCTGTGTTAATGCCTGACAGACTGGAGCAGTGAGCATTCCTAGGGATAAAGGTCTTTTCATAATAAGAAAAGCTCACTTCCCACCCCACCCACCACCCACCCAAAAGAAATGTGTTTCTTGGGATGGCCCCCATTCATCTTGAGTCACGGCTTTCAGTGCTGCTCCCTCCTGGAGGAACATCCTCCCGCCAGCCACGCCTTTCCACCTGTGAGCTGACTGACAGGACAGTGGAGCAGCCAACACACATGACTACTCTGTGCTCGGTTAAAGGCCGTGGTGATTTTACAGCATCCTGGGCATTTCACAACCATAAAGGAGGGATTGGGGCTCTGCACCAGGTGCTTCTTGTGTTTCCTCTTCTCCTCTGGAGAGGGATGCAGGAGATCCATAGCAAGAGGATGTTCTCGAAGGGAGGTCATCACCGCCAAAAAGGGAAAAGGGTCACTTCTTCAGGAGGGTGTGGTAATTGCAATCAGTTAGTGACTATAAAGAGAAATGGGTATGTCCTCAGGGGTGGTCGGTTATCTCACCCCTCCTCTGCAGTACTCAGCAGAACAGACAGCATCAGGAAGGCTGCTAAGCACCAAGCCGCCAGGGCTCTGCTTAGAGAACAGAATGGACATTCTGTGCTGTAAGGCAGGTCTGAGTTTAAAATGATTGACGTTGGAGCTAGAGAGATAGTTCAGCAGTTAAGAGCACTGGCTGTTCTAGATGACGTTTTAGTCATAGCACCCACGTGGTGGAAGCTCACAAAAATCCTCTGCTGGCCTCTGAGCATCAAGCACACATGTGCACAGGCACACTTGAACACAAAACATACATGTAAAATTAAACAAATATGTTTTTAAAAACAAAAGAGGTGGCTGAGAATCATTCCTAACTCCAGTTTCAGGGAGTCAGACACCCTCTGGCCTCCTCAAACACTGCACACATACATGCAGGCAAAATCAGAATAATTTTTTGTTAATGATTTAAGTCTCATATAAGCTGTATCCGTTCATTTGTGTTTTGGACAGGGTCTTTCTCTGTAGCCCACAGTGGCCTTGAATATCCAGCATTCCTCCTGCTTTAGCCTCCCGTAGTTGGGATTATACCCATGAGCTACCATACCCAGTAAGGCCCAAGGTTTTTTGTTATTGTTTTGTTTTGTTTTTCAAGGCAGGGTTTCTCTGTAATAGTCCTCACTGTGTTGGAACTCGATCTGTAGACCATGCTGACCTCAAGATCTGCCTGCCTCTGTTTCCCAAGTGCTGGGATTAAAGGCGAGCACCACCAGGGCATGGGTTTGAGGTCCAGATTTTAATGGTGAATACTGTCACACATTTATTGGAGAGCAGATGCCAACTTTATAAACATTTTCAGAAAACTGATCATTAGGTGCTTTTGCCTTGTTCTGAGGCTTCATCACTGATAGTTGATCCCAGTGAACCAAGAGGAAAAGTTTAAAATATCATGTTAGCAAACTGAATTAACAGTGTACAAAAGATGAACACATCTTTGAGCTTGTCCCAGGAGCCTAAGGTTGGTATGGCAGCTTTTTTCTCCTTCCTTCCTTCTTTTCTTCCTTCCTCCCTCCCCCTCCCTCCTCCCTTCCTCTCTCCCTCCTCCTTCCCTCCCTCCTTTCTTTCCAGACAGGGTTTCTTTGTATAGCATTGGCTGTCCTGGAATGCTTTGTAGACCAGGCTGGTCTTGAACTCACAGATCCACTTGCCTCTGCCTCCCCAATGCTGGAATTAAAGGCATGCACCACTGCTGTCTAACCTGGTGTATCTTGCTTTTAAAGGTCTGTGAATGTCAGTCACCATGTTAAAAGAACAAAGAGAAGTCATGTGATTATCCAGACTCAAAGATTTGACAGTCTAGCTTAGGGAAACTAAAAATAGAAGGGAACTTTTCCATCAGATAAAGATCTGTTAGAAAGAAAGAAAGAAAGAAAGAAAGAAAGAACGAAAGAACGTAATGCAGACATCTCAGTGGAAAAAACTGATGTTGCCCCATGGTTCTAGAACAAGACAGTGTCTGTTCTTTCACTTATATTTAGGTGGCACTAAGGTTCTGGAATGTGTATGTGTACAAGGATGGCTTGATCACTTACATAGGAAATCTGATGGAGTCTAGAAACATGCTGTCAGAACTAACATAGTCACTTTAGTAAACCTATAAGATAAAAGATCCAGATATGCTGGATGCACTCCTTTGGTTTTATTTGGGTTTTTGGTTTTGTTGTCGTTTCTTGAGACAGGGTTTCTCTGTGTAGCCCTGGCTGCCCTTGAACTTACTCTGTAGACCAAGCTAGGGTCCACCCTAGGAACTTAGGGTCCACCTGTCTCTGCAGGGATCAAAGGTGTGTGCCACCACCGCCTGACAGTCATTCTCTTTTGTAATTACTTCCTTGGGAGGGACGTTTTGCTTATGTCCTTTAGTGTCTTGCACAGACATCAGCAAGCTGAGGTTCACTGTGGTTGGATTTGTGTCTACTGTTCTCTGCAGGGCACAGTCTTTCGCAGAGCGTCTGCGACTAGGAATTGCAGTGATTCATGGAGAAGCACAGGATGCTGAGTCTGACTTGGTGGATGGCCGGCACTCCCCACCCATGGTCAGAAGTGTAGCTGCCATCCACCCTAGCCTGGAGATCCCAAGTAAGTGTCCACGGGTACCTTTTTGCCACTTTTCTCTGAGCTGCTTGAATTTGTGGAGGGATATTTTAATACAAATTCTCTTTTTAAAATTATTACTAGTTTTTTTAGATTTATTTTTGGTTTTATATGTATGCCATATGTGTGCAGGTACTCACAGAGAACAAAAAATTGCATCAGACCCCCTAGAGCTGGAGTCGCAGGGTATTGTGAGCACCTGGGTGCTGGGAGCCAAACTGAGGTCCTTTGGAAGAGTAGCCAATGCTCTGAGCCACAGAGCCACTTCTGCAACCCATGGATCCTCTTGGGTGTGTGTGTTCACAGTCTTGTCCATTTGCAGATACACGTGCACATGGAGGCCGTAGGTCCATGTTAGATATTTTTCTCAGTGCTGTCCATCTTTTTATTTGTTTGTTTGTTTGTTTGTTTGTTTTTGAGACAAGGCTCTCACTGGCTTGGAGCTCATCTGTTGTCTAGACTGGGTAGGCAGCAAGCCCCAGGGGCTCCCTTGTCTTATCCTCTTCAGCCTGGGAATTACAGGTGCACACACCATTACACCCAGATTTTTTTAGCACAGGTACTGAGAACCCAAACTCAGTCCTCATGCAAGTACTTTACTCATTGAACCATCTTCCTAGCCTCCATTTTGACTTTGAGTTGGCAAAAACTAATGATACCCTTCCTGGCTGAATTATGGTAGCTGTAAGCCTTTGAGTAAGAGAGCCCAATTTTAAGGAGCACTAGGAAAGTGTCCATCTATTTAGACTCAAGGGCTGTACCTCAGGGAACTGCACACAACTGTTCAATGCATGCTGACATAGGCAGGAGGCTTCTTTATGCACGAAAGTGTTCAGCATTATGTTATGTAGATGCAAGGTGCTGGCCAGGTTTTATGTGTTTAGCATAGGATAGGGCCTGGCTAATTATTATTAATTTATTTCTGAGTATTATATTCCTTTTGGTGCATGTCTGCAGCCCTCTAAATACTTAGAACTGTCTAGAGCAAAAGAAAACCTGAAATGTCAATAAATAATGTCTCAATACAAGACCTGCCTGTCTAGCTAAGTAGTCTGCTCTACTAAGATGCATTCATTGCTCAAGGCTCAGGAGGCTCGGACATCTGTGACGAAGTTGACAAAGGTGCCATCAGCTCCTCACAGATCTATCCTTCCACAGTGGAAGAGGTTGGAAGGCTCTCTCAAACTTCTGCCAGGACACTAAACCCGTCATCCTGACAGAACCTTGTTATCTTCCTCCTAACAGCCCCAACTCTTTAATTACCACAGTGGCTTGCAGCATTCATAGCACAGCATTTCACTTAGCCTCTAAACACATGTCCAACTCACATGCAAAATATATCATTCCACCCAACAGCCCTAAAAGCTAACTCAAAGTAAGTCTTAACAACTTGGTTCTCGTGCCAACTCAAAAGTCCCAAATCTTAGTAAATACCATCTCATACAAGATGGGTGAGACTCAGAGTTAGTGACATTCTGAAGCAGTTTTTCCTCTAGCTTTAATCTGCCCTCCCTGGCCTGTTGAATAAGTGTATGCTTCCAGAATACAAAGTGGAATAGACATAGGCTAGACACCACTCTTAGAGAAGGAGAGACAGACAAGTCCTGGGCTAGTCCAAAGTCCAGCAGCAGTACAAGTCTGTGGTCTTGGATAGGCATTGCCCTAGAGGGGACTGTGTTATAGCACTACTTGTAGCCCAAAGCTCTTGAGACCGTCCTTTGAGATCTCAGATGAGAGTGGCCCAGAGATGCTACTGTGACTTACCATCTGTGTCTTCTGGAGAGCTGGGGCAGTAAGGGAGCCCTGACCAGAATGGAGGAGCAAAGCCAGGAAGCCCACAGTCCTAATGTGCCACAGTGTCACATAGTAGATGTCTGCCATTTGGTAGAAATTTAGGTTGTGCCTGCAATTTTTGTGTTTGCTATTGTTGTATACATTCATGGCTGAATTTCTCTGTAGAACTAAGGTTTCCTTTCTTTTGGCTGTATAACTAGGAACGGCTTGCCCAACCTGATGATCGTGTTTAACCTTTTGAAAAACTGTTTTGCACAGCATATGCGCAGTTGCATCACTTTTTTTAAAAAAAACTCACATATCTTTATGGGCATGAATATTTTGCACCATGTGCAGGCCATTTAACCATGAAGTCCAGAAGAGGGCATCAGATTCCCTGCAACTGGAGTTAGTAGGTGATTGTGAACTGCTGTGTAGATGCTGGGAATGGAAGACAGCCAGTACTATTAACTGTAGACAACCTGCACTGTAGCAGCAAGACACAAGGGCTCCAATCTCTCCAAAGTTAAAAGTTCTTAAAAAATCCAGCCATCCTGTGATTATGAGTGGCATTTTGCGATGGTTGTGTTTCTAAATAACTAGTAATATCAGGTAGTGTTTGTGTGGTTGTAGGCTGTTTGTATCTCTTGCTTTAGAAAAATTGATTGTTTTGTCTTTTGCTATCAAGTTGAATGATACTATACATTCACCAGAGAAGTGGTGTTTACCTACTGTCTCATCCTGGGAGTTCTCTTTTGTGTCTTGACAGTGTCTTTTGGTATACAGAGAATTTAATGAAGTGTAATTTATATTTTCATTTGTTGTTTGGTATTTAATATAATATCAAAGGGTCTTGTTTTCTTTCATTTCTTGAAGCCCTGTTTTAGTTTTCAGATGTTCCAAATTCTTTGGTTAAGTTTACCCCCAAATATTTTATTGCTTGGATACTTGTACAAGCAAGAATTGTTTTTTCCCCCTTATTTTGTAGATAGCATATGATACATATATTTTAAGTGTAGAGGCCAAAGGTTAACATTGAGTCTTTCTCATTTCTCTCCACATTTTTTATTAAGTTAGGTGTCTCTCACTTGAACCAGAGCTCATCAGTTCAGATAGTCTAGCTTGCTCAGGGATCCCTGGCTCTACCTTCCAATTGCTGGGATTACAGGCGGGCTGCCACACCCATCCAACATCTATGTGAGTTCTAGGGATCTGAGTTTCAGTCCTCACCCTTGCGGCTTAGTCAGTGTGTGGTCAGCCTGGGGTAGCTTTTGTAATTCACCTTTGGATTATTCACTGCTCGCCATCAGAAAAAGAAACACCAGGCTCCCTGCATGAATGTATCACTTTTATTGTCACTTTAATAGAATACATGACAGAGGCAACTTAAGAGTAGGAAGGTTTGGTTTTGGTTTCCAGTGTCAGAGATTTCATTGTGCCAGTGTAGGGAATGCGTGGTGAGAGTCTTCATCAGTGGCATAAAGCAGTGACAGTTGACATGGCTGCAGACTGGGAAGCAGAAAAGTACTATACCATGATGGGGGTTAGGTATAACCCTTCTTTCAGCCAGGCCTCACCTTCCAAATGTTTCAACAGCTTCAAAATGGTGCCACAGCTAGGGACCGTTCAAACCACAAGCCTGTGAGGGACAATTGAGATTTCAACTGAGCACTGCAGGTGTGCAGCCTTCTATGCTAACTGGAGCTGTGCTTCAGTATTTCTTGGGGTGTTCTGGGTGTAGGGGCATGTCATCCTTGACTGGGTGTTACCTGGGAATTTTATAGTCCATCATCAATTGAGGGATTTTCTTTTCCTCTTTTAATTTTGTTTTTGTTTTTTGAGACAAGGTTTTTCTGTGTATCCCTGGCTGTCCTGTAACTCTGTAGACCAGGCTGGCCTCAAACTCAGATATCTGCTTACCTGCCTCTGTATCCTGAGTACTGCTATTAAAGGTGTGCACCACCTTTGACCAGTGATAACTACTTAAAACCTTTTAAGTCTTTGTTGTACCTTTGAGCATAGGCACTGAGGTTTGTGTTTCATTCTGACCAGTGCTGATTCCTAAAGAAAAGCCCCCAATCACGGTTGTTGGTGATGTTGGAGGAAGGATCGCTATCATTGTGGTACGTAAATCTTCTTTATTGTTCCCACCATCACTCTGATGTCTTACTTGTAATTGTGCACATAGACCATGGCAGGTGGTATGGCCAGGTAAGTATCATGTTGGTTGATGCTTTGTACTATGTTAATTTTGTCCCCAAACAGAAAAATGGTAATTTTTAAAAAGATTTATTTATTATATATACAGCTTTCTATCTGCATGTATTCCTGCATGCCAGAAGAGGGCACCAGATCTTGTCTCTAGTTCTCATTCATTACAAATGGTTGTGAGCCACCATGTGGTTGCTGGGACTTGAACTCAGAACCTTTGGAAGAGCAGCCAGTGCTCTCAACCTCTGAGACATCTCTCCAGCCCAAAAAAACAGGAGCCTGGCAGTGGTGGCACACATATTTAATCCCAGCATTTGAGAAGCAGAAGCAGGAGGATCTCTGTGAGTTCAAGACGAACCTGGTCTACAGTGCAAGTTCCAGGACAGATACAGCTCACACAGAAAAACACTGTCTTGAAAAAAAAAACCAAAAAGTGTCTATATAGTTGCTTGAATATAATACAACTGTTTATTTCCATTTTTTGGAATGTTGTTACTTTTATGGTTAAAAGTAAGGGACCAAGTTGATTAAAGTTTTAAAACATAGATTGGCAATAAGGGTTATATTTCAGTAAGGACTTGGATTTGGTCCCTAACACCACAAAACTTGCACATATCATTTCATACATGCATATTAAGCAGTACACTGAAGAATGGGCCAGACACTTGCAGCTCACTGCACCCCTGAGGAGAGAGCATGGGACCAAGGGCCAAGAGTCTTCCTAGGCTTTCCCTGGTCTCTTTTTGTCGCGCCTGAGAGTCTTCCATTCATAACATTCCTGAACTTTACAGTCTACCAAGAGTGCTGTTTCTAAATGTAAAGGACCTGGGCATTGGGGCTGGAGAGGCTGCTCAGTGGTTAAAGGCATTTGATATTCCTGCAGAGAACTCAGGCTCAGTTCCCAGCACCCACATGGCAGCTTACAATTGTTTGTAACTCTAGTTCTAAGGGATCCAGTACACACAGGCAAAACATTCATACACATCTTTAAAAAATGAAGACTTGAGTGTTTATAAAACTTGTGTGTGTGTGTGTGTGTGTGTGTGTGTGTGTGTGTGTGTGTGTGTGTGGCTGGGTGGTAGTGATGCATGCCTTTAATCTCAGCAGGAGACAGAGGCAGGCAGACCTACATGAGTTTGAGACCAGCTTTCTCTATAAGAGTTAGTTCCAGGACAGCCTCCAAGGCCACAGAGAAACCCTGTCTCAGAAAACAACAAACAAAAAATTGTGTGTGTGTGTGTGTGTGTGTGCACGCGCGCGCACGCGCATACATGATGACTTTTGGTCCATGCTGTGTTTGATCTCCCTACTGGTGCTTTGGTCTTCACTGCTAGATGTTATAGTACAACATAGCTGATGCATCTGTTGTCAGTTTTCTTTTTTTTCTTATGTTTGTGAGTGTATGTATGTAGACATATGTGCATGTGGAGGTTAGAGAGCAGTTTGTGAGCGTGATTTATCCCCTCCCATCATATAGATTCCAGGGATCAAGCTCAGGTATCAGGCTTGTTTGCAGTGCATTCACCTGCTGGACCTTCTTACTGGTTCTAAGACAGTCTTCCCTAATTCCCAATAATACTGCTTTGAACATCCTTGCACCCGTTTTCTGGTGTGTCGTGTAAAAGTTTCTGGGGGTGCCCTGTATTTTTTTCCTGTTGTTTGGCACATCTCCCACACCATCCCACTAGTTTATTTCATGGACACAGAGGTAGTGGAAGGTGCAGACCCAACATGGCAGCTGTGGTCTTTCCCCTCCATACTGGAGCTATGCTTTCTGTTTCTCTAGTACTGAGGGTTAAACCTAAGGCTTTAGATTTAGTGTCTACCATTGAACTGTATCCCCAGCCTTTTTATTTTGAACCAGAGTTGCTGAATCTGGTCTTGAACTAGTTCTTCACTTCAGTCAAGACTCAGTTCAGAATCTTCCTGCCTCAGCCTTTCCAGTAGCTGGGATTACAAGTCTGTACTATTAGGCTCAGCAAGTAAAGGTGCTTGTCACCAAGCCTGATGACTCGAGTCCAATCCCCAGAATCCGTGCAGTTGTTGAGAGAACTGCCTGCTACAGGTTGTCCTCTGACCTCCACATGCATGCCATGACATATATACACACACATTCACTTGTGCTCACGTGCATACTGACAAACAAGAAAATTTTAAAGGGCTAGAGAGATGGCTCAAAGTGCTAACCTCACGATATGAGCACCTGAACTTAGAGCCTCATAAAGCCAGGTCGTGCATCTGTAATCTCCGTGCTTCTGTCGAGAATGAACTGCAGATGACATAGTTTGTGCCCTGGCCATTCCTTCTTCCTGGTTGTCCAATCTGCCTTTGCAAGTGTTGATATGCCTTTTGCCTCTTTGATTTGACAGGATGACATCATTGATGATGTGGACAGCTTTCTTGCTGCAGCAGAGACCCTGAAGGAAAGAGGCGCATATAAGATTTTTGTGATGGCCACTCACGGCTTGTTATCCTCTGATGCTCCCCGGCTGATTGAAGAGTCTGCTATTGATGAGGTAGTAGGGCTGGCAGTAAGGGTGGCTGCCTGAGTCCTTCACAACAGAGCAGAACAAGTAGAAGCTTATTAGTTAATGAATAGAAGATGCAAGCCGATTGGGTAGCCCATGACTTTAAGTTTGGCATCAGTCTGGGCTACAAAGTAGAACCATATCTCAAAAAAAAAAAGTGAAAGGGTGGGGGTAGCTGAAAAATTGATTGGTTTGCATTTCATTGACTAGAGCTTTCCCATTTGAATGCGGTATGACTGATTCAGTAATGAATTGCATACTATATCGTTCACCCACCTCAGGTGTGTGGCACAGTGGTGTTTAATGCGCTCCGATTGTGTGCCGGGTGCCCAACTGAGTTGAGAAGAAGTATCCCCTGTGAGCCGTTATACACACACCCTTAGACCCCCACTGCTCTGTTTCTCTGTGGATTTGCCTGAAAAATATGCTGTAATGGGATGTGCTACATGCTGTCTCTTGCTAAGTTGTTGGAAACTTGAATTGTGTACATATTTTTAAATTAATCTTTATCTAATATTGTGTGTGTGATGTGTGTATATGAATGTAGGTTCTCATGTAGCGGTCAGGGGACAACTTCCAGGAGTCAGCTTTCTCCATGGTTTTCTACCATTTGTCAGTGTCTTTTGGGCTGTAACTACTCTGATGGGAAAGAGGTCACCAGGTCTTAAAGCTTGAGTAGCTTTGCTCTGATAGAAGCAGGAGCTGTGGGGAGGACAGGTCCCCCACAGGGTGAAGTCGGAGGAAGCTTGACACTGGCTGGGTTTGGCTTTGTTCTGTTGTATTTGTTTTATTTGCAGCACTGGGCCTGAACCCAGGCCTTCACACACTAAGCATACAATCTACTGTGAGTCACACCCCAGCCCTGAAGCTGCTTGGCGTCTGATGCTCTTGTTTCTTGTGATTCACAGGTGGTGGTCACTAACACCATCCCACATGAAATCCAGAAGCTCCAGTGCCCCAAGATCAAAACTGTGGACATCAGCATGATTCTCTCAGAAGCCATCCGCCGCATTCACAATGGAGAGTCCATGTCCTACCTTTTCAGAAACATAGGCTTAGATGACTAAACCGTTCTCCTGTGGCACAACTCCCACAGGTGTAGTAGGAAGCCCGGCATGCATGCTGGGGGCGGCCCATGCCTGGCAGGTACTCCTTCCCTCTCCCTGAATCCTCCTGAGTGATTCCTGTGAAGGTACAAGGACCAACTTTTTCATGTCTGTTTAGGTTTTTGTGAGTTTGGGGGGTAATTTTTATAACAGGAAGAACTCCTCTTAAATAAAGTAAATTAAAACCTGATCGTTTTAGTATAACCATTTTTAAAAAATACACTTGAATGAGGTTTTTAAGCTCAGCCTTTTTTTAAAGTTGCTTGATCCAAGTGTTCAAAAAAGTTAAATAAAATGGCCTGCTGTCTGTCTACAGTCAAAAGCTGCTGTTGGTTCAAGTATAGAACATTTTTAGAAATGATTTTATAAAGGGGCATATAGAGTATGTGGCTATTTATTCTCTGCAACCAAGGAAAAATAAAACCTCATGTTGTTTTTTAAGCCTCTGTATGTGGACAGTTTTCTGTATCTGGAGTAGACAGCCACTGAAGACCTGAGGCACTCGCTGCTGCTGTCTCTTCTGCTTCCAAACTGCGCAGCGCTGTATGTGGTGACGCAGCCCTCTGTCCTCAGGAGCCTGCCGAGCTCTTTATGAAGGGGGGTGGGGTTCACAGTTCATCAATGTGTCTCTGTTTTCCTCAGAGTCCAGCTAGTCCTCAGACCTGGGTGCGGTAACTCACACTGAGTGAGAGGCTCCGTGGGCGGGGCTGTCACTGTCAAGAACTGAGGGTCATCTGGCTTATCTGTCAGTTGAAATTTTTTTTTTTTTTTTTTTTTTTTTTTTTGAGATTTTATTTTTTGTGTATGAGTGTTTTACTGCATGTACCACATACATGCCTGGTGTCTGTAGAGATCTGAAGAGAGCATTAGGTCTCCTGAAACTGGAGTTAACAGGTGGGTGTTTGTGGGCAGCCACCATGTGAGTGCTGGAGATTGAACCCAGGTTCTCTGTAAGAACAGTGGATGCTCTTAACCACTAAGCCATCTCTCCGGCCCCTGAAATTTATAGTTCTGTCCCTCTTCATTATATCGTGAAGCAGGCCTAAGCCCAGAGTGTTGATGCCCACACATGGTCTGCACTCTTAGCAACCTCATTTCACTAAGGAAAAAAAACAGATGTCCAACCCTGAGTTTTCAAACCCAGTTTAAAAATACACCTTTGCCTTTGTAATCCTGGAAGGAAGGAGCCCCAGTCTTCACAAATAGGTAGGCTTTGGGTGTGTTTCCCTGACAGCTACTGGAAGAGCCTTGAGAACACTGTTGTCACTGTATGAGAGAACTCAGTCTGACCTGTGCTGAAGAAGCTTCAGTTGTGAATGTCCCTCCGTTCTGTGGCTTTTCTCCTGCTGTTCCATTTACAGACAGCAATGGAGGAAGAGACTGACAGTTCACTTTGAATAAGGACAGCATCTTCTAGTGGTCTTGGGTGTATAGGTCCCTGCTGGCACTTTGGCCTTTGCCTGTGTCTGATGAGGGAGGATGGATCACTGTAGATGCTGTTTGGGAGGAGTGTGCTTTCCAGCACTTCCAGTAGGAAGCTCCTACTAGGTGTTACCAACAAGGCAGTCATGTTTCCAGAAGAGAAGTGGATAAAGGAAGATGAGGGATGGAAGCAGTTGCCTCTGGGTAGAGAACCGGAGACCACATGTGCTCCAGGGCAACAAGAGCTTGAAGTCCTGCTGGGAGGACCCCAGAGCTTGGCAAGAGGAAACCCTGACTCCACCTACCATAGGGCTTATGAGTGAGCCAAGAGCATGGAGAAGCTAGCCCAGAGGCATCAGAATAGGGAGGGCATGCAGGTGCCATTTCAGGCACATGTGTAAAGCACCATGCCTACTGCTGCTGAAACAGACGGGTCCTGGTTAGAAAGGGCCATGGTACTGAGGACCAAGGGTGTGTTCAAGTCCCAACCCACTCACTTCCCCTCTCAGTAAATGTCTGCAGCCAGTTTGATATTTGAGTTCCCCAGGCTTTTGCTCAGCTGGAGACACCCTGGCAGACTGCCTTCCCCACTTGGCATCAGAGGCAGTGAGCACTTCCATCCTAATTCCATAACAGAGAAAGATTGGGCTGAGCATGGTGGTGCGTGCTTGTAATCAGGCACTCAAGAGTTTGAGTCTGGGGTGCAGAGTTAAAGGCCAACCTGGGCTCCATAGTAGGCTCCAGACCTGCCTAGGATGGCCTGGGGATTTTGACTCGTGGCTTGATTTTGATTTGTAGCCTGTGGGTTTTCTAGTTGATTGACTGTCTTCTCTGACCTTCTGGCTCCTTCCAATGCTGAATTTCTCTTTTCATAAAAATAGGACAAGGGACTTCCTAGTTAACTCCTCATATCACAGCTCCAGGCCCAGGTTTGACCAGAAAGGAGCCTCTGGCTGGATTTCTCACAGCTCTTCCCTTCCCTGAGCCCTGGGTGACTGTTACTGGTTCCACACTGTGAGCAACCTGACAGTTCTCTTTAGCTCTTCTCCACTTGAACAAAGTAAACCCCACCTCGTTTGTAAATAGAAACCACTTTGGAAATACCTCCTAATGTCTACGTGGGTCCCTAGTTCGACCCCGTAGACTCTAGGGCCTAGAGGGTCTTCCCAACTGTCAGCCCTTTGTATCACCCCCCACCACTCCTATCCCCTCGTGGCAGTTAGGCTTCCTCTCTGGGAGAAGAATGAGGTGGCGATTGAGCTCCCCGGAGGCACTAAGGGTGGGGCTCATGGTGGTTGGAAACTAAGTCAGTGACAAATGGAACACTCCTGTCTCCAGCTGGATTAAGGCAAGTGGTTTCCTTAGTAGGTTGGCTCACTGTGTTTAAAAAATGACCAGTCCTGGGCCAGCAAGATGGCTCAGTGAGTAAAGGTGCTTGCTGCCAAAGCTGAGTTTGATCCCCATAAGACTAAAAGAACTAACTTCCGATGAGTGGTGGTGGCACATGTCTTTGCCAGCAGAGACAGGCTGATCTCTGTGACTTTGAGACCAGCCTGGTCTACAAGAGCTAGTTCTAGGATAGGCTCCAAAACCATAGAGAAACCCTGTCTCAAAAAACCAAACCAAAAACAAAAAGAAAAAAAGATCTAACGTCCACAAATTGTCCTCTAACCTTTGCATGCATGTCATGCATGGCATACACACAAAATAGGTAAATACATAAGTCAAGGTAACTTTAATGACCTTAATCTCCATCCAATCCTCGGCATGGGAACTGTAAAATAACAATGGTTCTCTGAATGTTAAGTATCCAACTCTCAAGGCCCCAAGACAAACAAACCACACAGATCTGCCTGTGCTGACCCCACATGCAGCAGAGCTGAGGTGTACCCAACAGACCCTCCTGGCCTCACTTTGTTAGCTTGTCTGCCTTGATCTGAATCTGAACTTTGTTGAGCAACTGACTGCCCACCTAGCCTTTAGGTAGTAATTGATACTTAAAAGTTAAAAAAATAAGTTGCTAAATTTTGTGGTAAGTATAATGGAAATTACTACCCTTATTGACCAACGCCATATGGCAGGCCTTGTCCCAACCCATCAACCTTATCACAACTCCTTTTCTGAGGTCCAGGGAAGCTGGCTCAGAGGGGTGAAAGACTTTGACACCAAGCATTAACCAAACACCCACTGAGCCTGCGTGTACATGAAAGTGGTACTTAAGCTATTGAAAGGCCTGCAGAGCGTGGACCTTCACACTGCCACTCAGGAAAGGCAACACCCCAAATCACTCACAAGAAGCTGTCTTGATGCAAATAACATGAGTTTTTATTCCAAGTGCACTGGGGTCCACAGTCATACACCACCCAGGGGTAGAGGACTGAGGACCTCCAGGGCAGAATTGAGATAGCTTTTATAGGATTTACATCAAAGCTAACAAGGCCAGTTTCAAAGCTAGCCTGTTATTTTCACTAGGCCTTAAAAGCAAGGTCATGGAATAGTTCAAAACTTGGAATGGTTAGTAAGGTTTCCTAGGTTACAGAGATTTAGCACACCTGCAAGGTTAGGGGGTTTTTCTTTCTCAAGAACCAGCGGGCTCAGTGGCCTTGTCCTTGAGCGGCTGGGAGAATGTACTCTCCAGTCAGGGAGTTATCTGTATCTATTGGCAGATGCACTTGTTCTTTCTAGTTTTTCCCTTCTTGCCACAAGTCCCGTTTCTTTAAGTTATCTATTTTCTTTGTAGACAGGATGATCCATAACAATTCCCAGACTGTTGTTGTGGATAACAACATTCTGCAGAAACTAGGTGATTATGAATAATAATAATTTCCAGAAACCAGTCATTGTGACCAAGCTATTTCATGTGTTTTTTGTTTTTGTTTTTGTTTTTTTTTTTTCCCTGAGCTTTGCATGCAGCTAGGGTAAATACACGCTGATGGACTTTTTCTAAATTTCTAACTTTTAGTGGTCATTAGAGAGTTAAGCTGTCTTTTCATCCTTTCACTATTAGGGTCAGAGCAAGGTGCTAGCAGCCCCAACAACTTAAGCTGTGCACCCCACCAGAATAGGACGATCAGAAAAACAGAAAGTACATATAATCGACATAGCCACTTTGGGAAGAGGAACCAACAGAGCCAATGGCACCTATTCCACCCTAGTCCATCTCCAGACACGCCTAGCTCAGCAGTCCTGGTCAAGGTGTCTCACTTTGTCTCCACTCTGGTCTTTCCTCCAAGGTGGGCTAGGAGATAATCTTTCAGGAGGACCCGTTCCCAGCCCAGGCATCAGCCTTTTCCCTCTCTCAGCAGGAGATTTCCTGAGGAAATCGTATTTCTTGGGGTCCATTGTCTCAATAGTCTGATGTGGGGGGAAATCTTGTGGGTCAGGGAAACCTCAAAGGTTCCCAACCAATACAAGCTCTTGGTTGTCCACCTGAATTAATAGTAAGATACTGTTGTGAAGTCACCAACCACATAGTTCCAGAACACGGGAATCAAGCTGGAGCTGAGCTGGAAGCTCCCTCCCTGCTGGCTAGCTTTTGTAGTAGCAGAAGGTGCCACTGAGGATGAAGACATAATGGCTCCTGGGGGAAGGGTGTGCGGCTCCAGTGGACTTCCCACTGCTATGTTGCCCATGCTCCAATTGAAAGACCTAAAAAGTAATGTTAATGATGGACTAACCTGGAAACCAATATCTGTTCCTTGGAATTTGCTAGCTTCCTCTCACAAGGCCCTGAGATAAGAAGAATTCACACTGCCCCTCCTTTCCTGT